AAAAATGGCTTCTGCTAAGTCTGGGGGCATCATCACAGTTCTGTTTTCTGAAAATGTTTTAATCTTGTTACACATATTTTATACAGCAGTTTCAATGGTTGTATCGATCTATGTGTAATTAAAAACGGTTATTGTACGTATGAAAGAAAATTTACGCTAAGTATATGGTCACCAATTCTATTTTTCAAAAATATTTTTAAAAGCGTTTGAAATTTTTCTAAAATGTTTAGGATGAAAGTTTAAGGCACATGATTTTTTAACAATCAAAATAGGTACTTAGAAGGACTTTGGGAGGGGGGCGCTTACAAGTATTCGTAGATTCTAACTATTCGCGGCCGGTTCTGGTCCCTAGCCCCCGCGAATACAGGAGACTCACTGTATATATATAATCAATTAAATTAAAAAGCGACAACCTTAAGGTTCCAATTTATTTCCCCAGAGAATATATTGTATTAAAAATAAAATAAAAACATGTAAATTTGTAAAACAAATTCCGTTGTAACTAGAGATGTGACCTGATGAACCAGGAAAAATATATTTTCTGGAGAAATAAATTATAGTCATGGAACTTTAAGGTTGTCGCTTTTTAATTTGATTAATATTTGCTCTGTTATTACATTGAGCTCTCTGGATTACATCCTCTATGGAATTATCCATACGGATTACCAAACCCTTCATTACCTTAGTGTGTATATATATATATATATATATATACATATATTTTATAATAAAATGACAATAGGAAAACTTATATTGCTGACGCGTTTCGTATTTTGCTTTTGATAAAGTCCACATTGGACGAAACGCGTCAGCAATTACCAGTTTTCCTATTGTCATTTTATTCATAAATATTGTCTTCTCCACTGGTTAAATCGGAGAAATTTTCATATATATATATATATATATATATATATATATATATATATATATAATCTGTGTAAGTGTGTGTCTGCATACACATCCACAGACATACTGTTTCGCCATATCAACGCTCATCAGTGTGAATAGACATGCGATTGCTTCAAGCCGGGATCGAAACCCGACCGATTTGAGACCAGTCGGAGACTCTCACTTAGGCCATCAGCTCACGCTACAGAGAAAGGGTATTTTTTTATATACGAGATATAAGCATTACCGGCTACCAATTCATAGCGAAGAGCTTTTAGCATTAATCAGCAGCAGCCGACAAATTCCCTTTCTTCCAATGTGCTCAACCTGCGAAAGAAATCAAGTCATCCACAGACAGACTGTTTCGCTGTATCACTCCTCATCAGTGTGACATGCGATTGCTTCAAGCCGGGATCGAAACCCGACCGATTTGCTATCAGCACAGGAAATTTTTGACGCATTATATACGATATATAAACATTACCTCTCTCTCTCTCTCTCTCTCCCTGCGTGGTAGAGGAAGAACAAATAAGAAACGTTTATGAATTTAACAGATTTCGCTTTTATTAAAACTTCATCAGAAAATGAAATATCAATTATGGAAAAGAAGCTTTAGTAAAAGAGAAACATGTTAAATTTATAATAGTCTCTTATTTCATCCTTATCCTATGATTCTGTTGGATTCTAATCCATATTTTATATGCATCTTGTTCCTACATATATAAAAATCATTATCATAACGAAATGTAGTTTTTATCGCAACTACAATAAGTTTATCTTTGTAATTTACCCCTGAAGATGATCTTAGAAAAGGTCGAAAGTACTTAGGATAAAAAATAATACTAGGCCATTATGGTGATTTCAGATGAAATGTACAGTTATTTATGAAGTGTAGCTTAGTTTGGCACAAGGCTACGATACGAGAACCTTCAGGAGAATTGAATTGGGCATGATAGGCTCCCATGAGTTAGATTCTATCTTAGATCCGGTTTGAAGTCCTAAATCTCCGTACAAACGGGTGACCACGTTAAATTTAGACGAAGAAAGATCTGTTAGCACCGGGAGCGCTTGTAAGAGCATTTTCGGACACATGCTTCTTCACTTAAAATAACTTCAACCCCAACTGATAAAAGGTTATTTACTCCGACAACGTAAGAATGCTCTGAGCTGTACGAGTAATTAAATTTCCTATTTATTCAGAAGTCTCATTGTGTCAAGTCAAAGGTCTATCTTATTGGAAAGGTGAATGGTCATGCATTTATTCAGAGTTCAGAGTATTGAAATGGATGCTGTAAAATTCGAAATCTAACCACTCACGTCTTTTGTTTTGTATTTTTTTTTTTTTAGTGTTGGCCTTTTTTTCGGTCCGAGCAAAGTTTTTAAGCACCGCTATTGAAAAGTCCGATTGTTGCAGAGAAAGAGTTTCTCTTTTCCGATAAAGTTTATTTATTTTATTTTATTTTATTTTTGTGCCAGCACAAAGAAAGTTTCAATATGATAGTTAACTAAGGACAAATGCCTTTTTACGTCGCACTCGTATAAAAGAAAGCAGACACAATCTCTGCAGATTGCGCAACTCATATGACAAGAATTTTAGTCATTGTGCGTTTTTACGAGCCGACACATGCCCACGATTTGCCCAAGCTGTTGGGAGTGGGCGTTATTGAATCATCACCCCTAGACTGATTGTCAACCAACACTAGTGAGCCCTGTCTACCTTGCTATTTAACCCATTGTTGGGAGGAGTAGAAGAGGTGCATTCATGCCTTTCGTAGAGATTAAAGAAATTGGCAAGAAAAAGAAGCGGTAAAAATTTTTTATACCAATAAGCTTTTGGGGCACCTGGACGTGGTGTAATGTTTTTATTTATTTTTGTCAAAATTCGGTAAGCAAAAAATGTATATTTCATATGGGACAACCACATATAATGTATAAGGCCCGTAACACATTAGGGTCTTAGGAGTACCACATGTACTGCAGCTAAGGCAGTGTTACAGTTTTTGGGTACTCTGTGTACTAGTGAGCCAGTCAAAATGAGCTGACTCATTTTATAGTTCACCAATAGAAGGGTTAACCAATCAGAAGGCTTAGAATATTCAATGCGACGTGTATAAAGGCGGCCATGTTTTTTTCCGAATATTCACTGCCAACCTCTGATATCGAAGACTGAAGAATTACGGAACAGCTGCTGGTTGTATTGGCGATATAGTCAGATCCAGTAGAGGGTCTGACTCGTGAGTGTTAATCTTTAACGTTGTTTCATTGAACAGATAACGTACTGCGCTGGATTCTATATTCATAGACTATGGCGAACATGGTCAACAGGCAGTAGTGGAGTGTCTAGTTAATCGGACGGAGCCCGTCCATCGGCAGACTGGTTTTGAGTTTTCCTTCTTGATTGGTTACCACCTAAGACTTGACAACCACGTCTGATCTTTTACTTAATAATTAGCTGGGGAATTGGACAGATAGATTCATACGTTTCCCGTGGTTATTTGTGAGAAAGTGAATGCACCGAACTCGGCCGGAATTTGAACTCGGTTAGCTAATTTCTGTTTTCTAACTGCTAACCGTTGCACCGCTCGCACTAGTCATAATTCTCCATCAATGGTGATTTTGCACACGTTTTCTTTCTCCTCCTCTCCTTTTCTCTTTCTCCTTCTCATTTTCTCTTCTTCTCTTTTCCATTCACTCTTTTCCTTCTCTCTTTCCCCCTCTTCTCTTTCTCCTTTCATTTTCCTCCTCTCTTTCGCCACCTCTCGTTTTGTTTCTCTTTTTCTCCTGCTCTCTTTTCCCTTCTCTCTTTTTCCTCCCCTCTTTCTCCTTCTCGTTGTCTCCTTCTCTCGTTCTCGTTCTCTCTTTCTCCTTCTCCCGTCTTCCTTCTCTCTTTCTCCTTCTCTCTTTTCCTTATCTCTTTTTCCTCCTCTCGTTTTCCTTCTCTCCTTCTCCTCTTCTCTTTCTCCTTCTCTCGCTTTCATTCTCTCTTTCTCCTTCTCTCTTTTTCCTTTTCTCTGTCTTTCTCTCTACTTTTCCCTCTGTCTCCTCTCTTTCTCCTTCTCTTCTCTCTTTTCATTCTCTCTTTCTCCTCCTCTCGCTTTCCTTCTCTCTGTCTCCTTCTCTCTTTCTACTCCTCTCTCTCTTCTCTTTTCCTTCACTCTATCTCCTCCTTTCTTTTTCCTCCTCTCTTTCCTTCTCTCTTTTCCTTCTCTCTTTCTCCTCCTCTGTCTCCTTTTCTCTCTTCTCTCTTTTCCTTCTCTCTGTCTCCTCATTTCTTTTTCCTCCTCTCTTTCTCCTTTTCTCTTTTTTCTTTTCTCTGTCTTTCTCTCTCTCTCCTTCTCTCTTTTCCTTCTCTCTTTCTCCTCCTCTCTGTCTCCTTCTCTCTCTTCTCTCTTTTTCCTTATCTCTGTCTCCTCCTTTCTTTTTCCTTCTCTCTTTCTCTCACATACCACGGTACATTATATACGCGTACATACATATAGATTTCGTGTCCCTTTGTAAGACTTAGTAATATTTGTCTTTTTGCCATTCCTCTCGCGTTGTTTTCCGCTATTCATTCATACAAGCTCGTCAAATAGTCGTCTGCTGACTTATGTCATTTTAACACTCGATATGTCTTGTATTAAACTCGTTCCTCGTTATGGGTCCAAGAAATGATTCTGAGTATAAATGTCCTTTTTTGTTACCATTTCCTCGTTGTTCCGGCCATGGTGTTCTCAGCATCCTTCTGTAGAACCGTATTTCTGTTGTCTTAAGAATTCTCTTCAAAATTTGTTCGGACTTCATCGCCATATAGGAGGATTCATTTTACATAGTAATTAAGTACTCATGTCTTTGTTTTTAATGAAACTTCACATTCAGAAGGCATTTCTTCACAGAAAATCGTTTGATTTTGGTATCTCCAATTCATTGTTTACGTATTAGGCCAATCATAAGAAAATTATATACAAACCTCTCATCAACGGACTAATAGGGGAAAAGGCTGGTCCGTTAATGCCGATTGTCTGTAAATGGGAAGGGATTATTTTTGAGTTATAAAACCACTATAGTAACTGCCAGTAATTATGGTCATAATGTAAATACTATAAACATGTAGATATGCCATAAATAAATATATACTTAATATAGATATATTAATCAAAATAACTAAAATAATAGTCTTCTCACAGCTACTTTCTCACGCACGCGCTAATGTATCGTACTTTATATACTGTACACCAGTCTTTGTTTACAAAGACTGGTGTACAGTATATAAATCGGTCACTTTGAGAACTAATACGACTTGTTTCACTAAACCCGCAAATTTTGAAATACATCGATGACGATTTGGAAGGTTTTTTTTTCTGCAGATTTTTTTTCATTTTGCCTGAGGTTTTGTCCGTTGCATCCGAAGGCGGTAGATGAGAGGTCTCTCTCTCTCTCTCTCTCTATATATATATATATATATATATATATATATATATATATATATATATATATATATGTGTGTGTAAAAATATATAAAAATAGGAAAGAACTCGTTAGGTAAATAATCCAAAATTCTTTAGTATTTTTGTTATTATTTTAAAAAAATAGTGCTCGATACAAAAGTAGTGCATAAATATAATTATTTATTTAAAAATATGATTCCAACGCTACATAAGAGTTCTCATGTTTCAAAACAAGAGCCGAAAACTTCAATATAATTATTTGAATTAAAGTACTAAGCTCTGTTCCATCTTCAAGCGAAATTTTTTTTGGAATAACTTATTCCTGAAATTTACGCGTTTTATAAGCATATTCATTATTAAAATTAAAATTACTATGGTAACGACTAGAGCAATTATTTAAAGAAAAGGGGCGTAAGGGTTAATAATTTGTATCAATATCTCAGTTACATTCAAAGACGTCAAGTCAGAGTAAGGTTGGGGTGTCTAAATTTAAAGCGGAAGATGACATCGTCTAGTCTGGTTAAGTGACTATGGAGATTTATTTATTTTTTTTATTTTATTTTTTATTTTATATATATATATATTGTTAAATATAACAGACAATGAATTTCTATTATGTTTGATCATGAGCCGTTACAAACTCTGTATATGTGCTTTAATTTCGGGAGAAAAAAAGTCAAAAAATGTCCAACATTTGGATATTTTCTTTTTATTATGCTGTTACTCGATCTAAGCTTTCGGCTCACATGAGCCATCTTCAGAGTGGTTATATGGACATTTAAACAAAGATATTCACTATCAAAGATGATATTCTGTTATGTTGACTTAAAAGATTGCTATGCGACGATAACGGTCGTGGGATAACAGGCGCAGGTCGTAAATTCATGATGTGGTTCTATGACGTCGTACCACGTGAAGGACCGAAATATTAACAACAATTTTATTGTAGATGGCCATCTACACTAAAACAAAGCAGTGCACTCTCAACAAAATTACATTTCAAACTAGTCACAACACATTATATTGCATCTAGACATATGCTTCTGTTCTTCTTGTTCTTGTAACGGCATTCACCCGGGGTGGTTTGAGCCGGCTCCAATATTGGAGTTTCATGGGAATTTGGAATTCACAAGCGGTCCCCAACCCGCATGTATAGCACATGAGATTTGATTATAGTGCTGAAGGTTTCGTGCAGGCCGATTACAGAGATTACAGAGACCTGGTGCACTACGTGCCACAAGGTCCCCAAACGACCCTCCACAGGTTTTGAATTCAGAGTTTTCCTTCTCCTAGACCAGTTGCCATCCAAGGCTATAGAACTCAGTCTGGCCTGCTATTTACCCATAGCTGGAGGGAGAAGAAGAGGATTCACACCTTTCCCAAGGATATTAGCACGTAAGTGAATGTAATGGATTCGACTGGAATTCGAACTCGGCTCTCCGATTCCTCAATCCAAGCCGTTATTCATTACTCCACCGTGCATCCTCATATGGTTCTGTGGTTAATTATTATTATCTCATGCCATAAAAACAAATCAATCAACCAACCAATATTAATCAATCGATCAATATTAAGTATAGCTTAGTCTGTCAAATGGACCAGTTAGGGCTAGTGACGTGCAGAGGTTTGGCGATGCCCAGGGCCAACTCCTTGATTGTATACCCACCAAAGACTCAAGTGGTGGGGAGGGCTAGTAATGATTAATGAGATAAAGAAAAATATTTTAAATAATAAAAACACATGAAACATTAAAATAAACATTTTATTCAAATTAAATATAAACTAAATTTTTATTTCACTCTTTGATCGGATATTTCCCCGATATTGATGCCCGGGGCCGTAGTACCCACAGTCGCCCACCTTCTGCACGCTACTGGCTAGGGGACTCAGTGAGGATCGAACTCATAGCACCAGTAATGGTTAATATAACTACCTTAGTAACCATCGCTTTCACCATCTTTACAGGGTATGATGGGTGAATTGTCGTCTTTTTATATTTTTTTTAATTTCGCGCATGCGCGTTGTTTGTTTTTGATTTTGTCGACTAAACAGTATAGTAGGGTCAGTTAGGCACTGTCTGTGAGAAAAATAGCACCATGACAATTTACTCCGCCAGAAATGTGGGAACAGCATGCTGTACTGCTTGGCATTCGTGCCGGAAGCTTTAATACGAACATTTCAGAGTGTTTCAGTGCCAATCTGAGGACAGTACAGAGGATTCGGAAAGAGTTGGATGAGTTTAATGGTGATTACGAAGGTACGACAGCACGAAAAACTCATTCTGATTGTTCTGATAAGAAAAAAAAAACTCCCGAATTTGTTGATGAGGGTCTCAGACTCAACACGAAGGCCTACATTAACTGCCTTGAGAAGGTAGTGCTGACCTGGTTCAAGATGTTTGCTGCTAGAAGATCATATGTCTGGTAACAGGACCCTGCACCATGCCACACAAGCAGTAGAACCCAGCCATGGCTGTCAGACAATTTCTGCAACCACATCAACCTGTTATGATGAAGAATGATGAAGATATTTCATCATTCTAAAAATAACCTTGCCATCAGTGATGATAGAAAATAAGGATATTTCATCATCCCTGACATAAAGATAAAATATCTCATCATCCTAAAAACAAACTTGCCGCTAGTGATGAAAGATGAGAAAGATATTTCATTATTCTAAAATCGACCCTTCAACCCCAAGCAAGGACAGTAGGGTCAGTAAAATAGAGAACAGTAGAATAGCAAGTGGCAGTTGCAGTAGTAAAATGGCCCAACACACACGTATCCTCATTCTTTTCGGAAAATCGAAAACTGACGATCTCAAACGTTATCCTCATCAACGAAATTCCCGGAACTAGCATAACAAGTAAGCACAAACTTTTAAAGAAACAAAAGCGACAATAACACTGAGAATATTTTTAACACACACCATACCAATATCTGTAAATCCCATCTCGAAAAAGAAAAATACATATTCTGTCATTAACATCAACCCTGTTACACTCAACAAATAATATCACGTCGGGATTACTACTACATCAACACCGACTTATCCACCCCGATACAACTCCTTACATCTGGCCACGTAATTCCCCAAACTGCACCCTCCCCCTTGATTATTACGTGTGGGGCACAGTTGAGTAAGAGACCAACAAAACTCTTTGTAACACCAAAGATAAACAGAAAGCAACGATTGTAGCAGCATCCACCAACTTAAACAAGGAGACCGTCCAGAAGAGATGCAGGAGATTCCGAAGTCGTCTGCAGGCCGTGGTTGAAGCCAATGGCGACTTTATTAAATAAAGTTACTTTTAGAATTTCAGGATATTTTTGTGCAATTTTGGTAAATATATCTTTTAAAATGAGATGTCAGTGTTAATTTCATTTATAAGTAATTTAGACGGTAATTTATCCATTGCACCCTGCATTCTTTCTTTCTTTCTTTCTTCCGGTATTTTTTCGTTCCGTTAGCCAGTTCGCCTCTTACGCTCGGCCCGCTTTTTACAGAAAACCGGATGTGGTTACATTTACTTCCGTTTCAGACATCTCTCGCTGTTATTTATTTAATTTTTAAAAAAATGTTCGTGACCTTTTGTCACCATATTAATTATCTTCCATTCATCATTTCTGTGGCTACCGTATTTCCCCCCCACCATCCTTAGATAATCAGCTAGTCCGCAAAAGAAAGGAAGAAAAATTGGAACTATTTAAATATATTGGTCCAGTCGTAAAAATCGGGAAAATTTCTCTGAGGAAGAAATTTTTGTATAAAAGTCTTCTTTCTACCTTCTTCTAGTCGCCACAATTGTCAGAATCGAAAAAAAAAAAAAAATTAAAATGATTCTTAAGTGTTGTTCTTAATATAGTATCAAATATAGATCCTTGACTTTTACAGACGTATCTGTACTTAGTTTTTATTTACAAATATCGTGCCTTGAAAATGTATTTTACGCCATTAATATCTGCATATTTTTTATACTTTGTTAATTTATGTAAAATATTGTTATTTAGTTAAAAATACGGCACTACTTACAAATGTATTCCACCTGTTTGTTCCTTAGTGACAAAGAATCTTGCAAAAGAATGGAAAGAATACTTCGCCAAATAATTGCTTTAAAAATTGCTTCCTTAAAATACTAAAGCACATTAAGAGAGGTATCTCCAAAAATGTTATAAAAACAGCATAGAATGATGAAAAAGGCCCCAAACTTAATAAAAACAAAGTTTTATCGTCAAAATGTTTGCTATTGTGAAGAGGAAAGACCAAAGTATTTTTTGATTATTTTAATTTTTTCTTGCACATTCGAAATTTTGGTTAAAAATCTTTGTTTTTCTTATGTCAGCAGCTGGGCCAAGGGTTAGTATGAGAAATTTAACGTCATTTTTAGTTTGAAATTAAAACTAGAATAACAGTTTCAAGAAAGATTTTTCATTTAATAAAATCATTTTAAACCTTAGATATCGCGTTTTTTTGTGGAAAATATACAAACATGTTTGTTCTTTATGCAAAATCAATCTTTTTGTAAAATAAAGAAAAAAAAGTCTTTGTAGACATAACAATGCCGTAGGCAGAGTTTCGATCTTCTTATGTTACGAACTTCAGAGTTCCAATAAAACTGTAAAAAATCAGTGATCGATTTGACTATATTATGAACTGTACACCCCCTTTAAAATCATAGCCAATCAGTATTTTTCGATTCTGACGTCACAGCTTTAGATTATGAAAAATTAAGGAGGGAAAAAAAAGAAATCTGTTAGTGTATATTTTATTCGGCTAAAAAAGATTGGGGAGAATGGACTGGAGAAATACTTAGTGAGATATAAAAGCAAAGCAATTTTATAAAATAAAAAACAAATTTTATTAAATATTAGGAATGCCGAACAAAGGGGTAATAAATTCCTCGAAAAATAACTTATTTTTTTAAGGCTCAGTGGTAATTGTTGCAAAACTATCAAGTTTACAATCAAAATCAGTCAAATAACATAAAATATACATTATTCGGACTATTGTCCTCATCTTTGCCGCCATATTTATCACAACGTTTCGGCCGTTGTACGCTCCGGCCTTCTTCAGGTGGTTGGAATGTCAAACTGAACCGTTTATTTCGCTCACTGGGGTAGACTGAATAATGTAAATAATGTACATAATACCTCATCTCAGAAATATAGACAAACATAAAATATCATAAGAAAAATGCCACCCTATACAAAAAAATGCAAATTACAAGGAAAAATGTACAACAAAAGGGTTTCTGTGAGGTCGAGTCCAGTTAAAAGGGTTTATTTACCCTGAAGATATAAAATGGGAATGTTTTTAAAGCTATTTTGATTTGATGTGAGTTGTTGAAATTCGTGATAAAATCCGTTCGTGACTTCAGAGTCTTCAATGTAGAGGGTTGTTTTGAAAACAGTATCTGTTATGGAAACGACTAACAGTCGGGATGAAAATAAAACTTAATTCTGTCGTGAAAACAACATTTTGGTTGTCAAAAATCACGGCCACTTCTTTGAGTCCTCGCTCAGTCAGGGTTTCAGATGTTTTTAGAAGGTGTCACGTCTCCCACTGGTTGGCGGTCGTGTTACGATCCTCGCCGGTCGGGTCTACTACACCGCGGCATCGCGTTTCCAATTCCTCCGTGTCAGGTCTCCCTCTGCCGTTGATGGTCGTAATGCAGGGATTTTTATAGCCAAAACTTCAGCTCCGACTTACCCGAAGCCATTTAGGCGGGTCAACACAAGGATTTCAGATGTCAACCGGCTCGGGGAGCGATTGGTTAAAAAATCACGTTTATTAAAACAATTTATTATAGTGGAAATTCACCTTCAATTGACTTCTCCGCTCTTTGGTCAAAGAGCTTTGCAAGGCTGGCGAGGTTCAGGTTTCAATAAATTATTTTATTACCTTCATCCTCTCCCACAAACTACAAAGAGTCGAATTTACTTTTTTTAAAAAAGCATGGTCTAAAGAATGATAATCGATAAAAGCTATTACCCGGGAGAAAGTTATTTTTTGCGAGAAGACCAGTATACTTAAATCAAGTTGAGAAATCAAGACATAAATAAAATCTTCTCAGTCAAATTTTAAACCCTATCTGCTTTTCAAATGGCTTATAGGAAAGAAACGCTATTTCCAACACTGTTACATACCCATGTACATACCATATTAAAACACGCTCAAACTTTATTTTCTATCCAATACCAGTATTAACAAACATGCCAAAAAGATCCCACAATGCAGCACACACCGTTTAAATCAAAGTGTCTATTGGTTAGAAATTAACATTATAATGGAAATATTTGAGCAATCAGAGAAAACTAAAACCTTATTTTTTTCGAGTCTACTTTCGGGGAATATCTCTCATGAAAAATTAGCAGATTTCGACATTCAGTAGCAAAAATGGAACTTTCCAAGCTGCCCAAACACAAGGAAAAACGTGCCTACATAGTTTTCCTACCTCCGGCGCGTGCTGAAAGAAACATGTATCGTTAACTTCAAACGAATCATTTTCAACGACAACAGCTCGGACGGTCAGTGAATCTTCGCTGACGATCAAAGTCTTTTCTAAACCTTAGATTTTTCTGTGGACCAACTACCCAAAGGCTTTCTGATTTTTATTTTAATATTGTTTAGAATTCAGACGTTCGAACTGTTAAAAAAAAAAAAAAAAAAACAAGACGAATTTCCTACAGGTTTAATGAAATGTTTTTTTACTGAATTATTTACGAAGAAAATTTAATTTTTCAATTGCTAAGTAGAATGAGTAAATACTGAACACTTCAAGTATCTTGGTGTATGGATCAGTTACATCAAATTTAGTATAAAAGATAAGGAAATTAAACATAAGAGAATACGCTGAACTAGGGTTATTTCCGCCAACACCGAAAATTACTACACAACCAAAACATTGACCTAAAAACTAGGATCATGTTCTTAAATAACATCGTCAGATCGAAAATTTCATGTGAATGTTATGTATGGATGCAAATTCGTTCAAAACCTTCTAAAATGTCGGTTGTACACAATCGCTTTCTCAAAGCCATTGTAAAAATGGCTTCGAGCAAATGAAGTATCTAGGTTTCAACAGGGACCATCCTTCTTCGAACTTTGTGGACTGGCGCTATACAATCAAAAAGAACTCTACCGGATAACAGAAACCACATCACCTGGAGATTTTCAACAGCACCAACAACTAAAATGGATAGCACATCTAACTAGAAAAAAAAATGTTGTAGTGATAGCAACAAATAAGTCATTAAATAACCTCTAAACCTTTAGTACTAGACTATGCGAGAGTATGAAACCAAAATGATAATAAAAGAAAAATTAAAAGTAATAAAATTACTTTAAAATACATATTGATAATGATGATTTAAAATAAAGAAAGAAAAGGGTACATTTAAAAAAAAATAGTTAAATAAATATAGAATCCTCCTATGATGCACCGGAACAGGCATATTGCCGCCAATTGAAACAAAAATCAAATCTTCTCTTTCTTCATCGTCGACGGCCAAATGAAGCAGCTGCCCGGAAACAGCTTTTTAACAGGTCATGTGGCTACCACCAGATAAGCACAGACTTTTTATCTCTGCATATATATATATGTCCTTTAAAAATATAATTTTTCTTTGAAATGTATACGAAAGCCTTTTATCATTTTTGTTTATATTTATTGCGTCGTATCTTGTATATGATTTGTTTGTAATTTATATATTTCAGTCGTGGGTCAATGATGTCTTTTTAACCCCTAGACAAAATTATATATATATATATATATATATATATATATATATATATATATATATATATATATATATGAAAGTACATTCACACAAGGCCAACGTATCACAGAATAGTACACATCAGTTTCTTTTTTTGTACTGAAATCATAAAATAACATAGCAAGTCCGAAGGAAACAATATAAATAGATAATATGCTAATAAATTTTATCTATATCTATAATTCTCAAAATGTGTGTGTATGTATGTGTGAGTGATCGGATGTTGTTTATGCATTTCCACCGTTTTCACCCGATTTCGATGAAAATTTTTGTTAGATAATTCTTCAGTGCCGCTTTTGAGTCCAAAGTGTTGGCGACAATGGCTCTCCACTACTTCCTGTCCATTATAACTCTCAGCAAAGTTTTACTATTTACTATCCGTTCTTGGATATATATCTTTCAAAAAACTTTAATAAAAATAAATAGTTTAAAAAATTATTACAATAATATTTATTATTATACAGTTCCCTTTTCAGGCCCCCCCCCATTCAAATTGTTACCCTTCCCCATTTGGGGATGGGTCTCAGTTGCACCCAAATATTGTTACTAATATTGATTTTCGAGTGGGCCTACTTTAAACTTAAACTGCTCCAATTGAATGGCAAAAATTCCCAGTGATGAAAGACCAGGTCAAAGACCGGTTATACTGCTAGTACTTATAATAAGATAAATAGATCATATACTAATAAATCATATACTAATAAATCTTATAATAAAATAAGTAAATCTCATACTACAATCAAACGTAAAATGCAAAATTTTCTTAAGCCAACTACAGTAATGAAAAATCTCAAACCGAAACGAAATATCTTTACTCTCTGTGGAACAACGAGATTTTGAGATAGGCTGGCGTTTCTGGGAGGGAGAGTTGCACTATGACGTGGCCTCTAGTAAAGAATGCTGTCTTGCCAACAACAACAACAGCAACTATATTTATATCAAAAAAGAAAATTCGGTTTCATTTCTGTGTCTTTTCTGCTTTTATTTATTTTCTGAACGGGTTGCGCGGAAGCCTTGAACGGAAGTTGAACCGTCGGCACAGGGATGGCGCCCAGTCTATTTTCGTTTGGGTTGATTGAAAACCTTAAATATTAGCATCTGAGAAAATAGAACCCTCGAGGCACATGTGACTCTTTCAAGATTCTGATGACCTCTCGATTTCTAATGTCTCAGATTCTTTCTTCTATAAGTTCATCCCTTTTTCTTTTCTGAGTTTTTTCTTTTTTCTAAGTCATTCTTTCTTTCTTTCTTTCTTTCTTCTATAAGTTCATCCCTTTTTCTTTTCTGAGTTCTTTCTTTTTTCTAAGTCATTCTTTCTTTCTTTCTTTCTTTCTTTCTTTCTTTCTTCTATAAGTTCATCCCTTTTTCTTTTCTGAGTTCTTTCTTTTTTCTAAGTCATTCTTTCTTTCTTTCTTTCTTTCTTTCTACTATAAGTTCTTCCCTTTTTCTTTTCTAAGTTCTTTCTTTTTTCTAAGTCTAATTCTTTCTTTCTTTTTTTTCTTTCCGAATTTTCTTCTACAAAAGCATGAAAATGGAGGCAATGTCAACAGTTTCATTCGTTTTTTTTTTTTCTGAATTAATTTGCAGAATAAGTTTCATTCTCATTTTATGACCAAATAATTCAAAATTAAATTTCCCTGCAGACCGATTAATTATGAAACCTTTCTTCATCTTCTTCTTTTAAAAGTTCTAAATTCATGACACGCTTCTCCAAACTCCAAATGACGCTGACACTCCTTTCAAAAAGATTCGACTTTAAAATGGCACCATATTCCGGGATGAACTCTGGTTTTTATTCTACACATATTGATTGGTTTATCCCTGTTGTCCCGGCTTAGAATGGGATGATTGCATTCCTAGCAGGGGAATAACCCCACCCCATTCCCCGATGAATGAAAGGGTCACTTACGAAGTACTTATAGACCGGCAAATATTCACCTATCCCGAAGCAAGTAAACTCTTATGGACTCAACTATAATCAACCAATATTTACTCATCTACGAACTAAATAAATACTTATTATAGATTCAAACATAATCGACCAATATTTACATATTCCCGAAACAAATAAATGCTTTTAGAATGTAATATCAAAGCCCAATTTTTACCTATACTTGACTCAAATATAAAAGACAAATATTTATCTATTCCTGAAACAAGTATATACTTATTAGAGTCAAATATTAAAAGAAACACGACATTTTGTATAGAAAGTGCACTGATTCCTGAGTCTTCCACAATAAATCTGCATCCAGATTCACATAACATTTCACCTTTCTTCTGTCATCGCAGTGGGGATATTTAAAAGCAACAGTGATTGAAACACAACCTGACACATTTGGAATCTAAATGAAGTCGGCTAAGTATTTGTGTCTAAACACGTCGGGCACCAAAAGATTTTTAATTTTTTTTATCGGGCATTGAGTGAGGCGTCCGTAAAAGAGGAAGTGTCGAAGGACTGGAGAAAGGGGTCTGGATTCTTATATTAAAATCGACCTTGAACATGAAGGGGTGAAGAGTGTAAAACTCAGGAAAGCATCCACGTAGGAGCCTGTTATTAGTAAGTAGTTTTCTGGGCGGAGTAAGTTAGGCATGAGGATGATTCAACCCCGTGGAGGTAGCAAGGTGGGGGTCGTGGCAGCAAAGTTCTGTTCTGGTGGCACAAGAGAATAGAGAAAGTCTGAACATTTACCATTGAAGTGGCGGTAGGCTTGCTACTTTGCATTTGTGAGAAAGAGGCTGTAGGGCGAAAATAATATATATATATATATATATATATATATATATATATATATATACGCGCGCGCACACACACACACATATATATATATATATATATATATATATAATTGGTATCACCCATGCAAGACTATAAAGCCACTAAGATACAAGAGGTTACAGAGTGTGGAAGAATTAGGAATAAAATCATTAATAATGAGCTGGAAGAGGAAAGAGTGATCAAAAGGACAGTAGATAGCGACTGACATTGCATTTAAATTTTTGCAGATTAACGTTGACTGGAAAGGATGGAGCTAGAAGGGAGTTCCACAAGCGAGAAGTGCGAGAAAAAGAAACTGATAACATAGAACGTACGGTTAGATATAACTGGCTCATCTGTAAAGTGATGAGATCTCGACGTCAGTCCAATACTGTGCATAAATTCATAAAGTCTAGGTACCATAGCGAAGAACTCATCCGGACAATTACCAGGAAAGTATTTATAGAAAAGACAAAGAGAGGCAGCATTTATGGCGGTGTGCAAGGGACTGAAACCGAACAGCCAGAAAAAAAAAATATATATATATCGAATTATTTTCTATTTTATTCGTGCTCGCTCGGTTCACCATCTCCGAGTCCTTGAGGCTGTTTATGTTAAGTCTCATCAGCCGTGCTAATGTAAACAAAAGGGACATTTTATTTTTCCTTACATTTAATCGACCGATTATGAGTGAAGTTTTTCCATTTTACACTCTTTTTTGAACTTATTTTAGTCGTTAATTTAATTATAATTAAAATCTATTTTAATCAATCGTCTTCCAATTTTCCCTCCTCATTCGCTTATTTATTAATTCGTCTTTGATTGCTTCTTGCTTCGCCAACGCTTACCTTTGGAAAAAGTGTTAGCTCAAATGGCCCTAAAGGTAAAGAATGGCGCCCATGTTATTTAAATCTATTTCTTTTTCTGTGGGCACAAGTCTTTTTATATATATATATATATATATATATATATATATATATATATATATATATATTATTATTATTATTATTATTATATATATATATATATATATATATATATATATATATATATATAGTTTATGAAAAACTAGGTAATCCGTAGGTAGACCCAAGGAGGATAAATCCAGAGAGCTCAATGTAAATCCAGAGCAAATAATTTAAATAAAAACAGACCACTTTAAGGTTCCATGTAATAAATTATTTCACCACAGCCCTTTTAAAAGGACTGCGGATCATCAGACTTTACTTCCAAAAATAAAATCTGATGATCCGCAGTCCTTTAAAGGGGCTGTGGCGAAATAATTTATTACATGGAACCTTAAAGTGGTCTGTTTTATTTAATATATATATATAGTCGACTCTCCCGTCGAATTCGACGTATGAGGGTCAAGCAGATCAGTTCCCAGGAAACCGACAGCCTGACAACAGTACATGAGATTTGATTATAGTGGTGAAGGTTTCGTGCAGGGCCATCCACACTTTTGAAGGGCCGAATACAGAAACCTGGTGCACTACATATATATATATATATATATATATATATATATATATATATATATATATATATATTATTAGGTACCAACATGAGATCGCTGGAAAATGAGCATAGCAGGATAATAACGGCCTTATACTTGAAAACAAAATTTTATCGTCAAAATGTTTATGTTTTTATTAAGAGGAAAGAACAAAGTAATTTTTAATTATTTTTCAAAATTTTTCTGTCTCTATTAAAGCATTTTAACTTTTCATTGAAAAACCTGGTTTCTCATCATCAGCGAGTGTCCTACTAAATAACATGGCAGATTTTTGTGTATTTTTTATGGCAGTCATTAATTTTGAAAATCTTGCAAAAATAAAAATAATTGTCAGATTTTAATGAAACTTTCAGAAATTATCACAAATGATGGAAATTATTATATGTTTTTTTAAAGTCATGGTAAATTTTCTTTTATATATTTATTAACCCCCATAATTATTTTTATGAAAACTCATGAAATTCTAACTTGTACAGTTTTAGTGATTAATTAGTTAAAAGCACAAGGCTTTGATGAAAGCAAATCATATTATCTCATGACGATTAGTTTTCGTTGTGATCCTTTCAAGTTCACAGATTAATTTTTTGGTATCTATAGAAAATTGATTAAGAAAAATACCAAAATTTTCTTTCGAATAGTTTTTATTTTCCCAAGTACTTTCAATCTCATCTGAGACCATCTTCAGGGGGTAAAGTTGTCTGTGAGTATGTATAGTGATTTTCAAAGCGTAGCTTAGATGTGGCACAAGGCCGAAATTAAGGGGCACCCAGTAAGGCTCGAACTCACTACTCAGTCGCAATTGTTTTAGCGAAACAAGTTTGCTAACCATTACACCACCTTGAGGTGCGCAAGTGATTTTCCAAGTGTAGCACAAGGCCGAAAGTAAGGGGCACCTAGTGAGGATTGAACTCATTACTCAGTCGTAATTGGTCTAGCGAGACAAGCTTGCTAACCATTGCGCCACTTCGTATGTGTTTCTGTAAATTCAAAACATTTCAACTGTTCGTTTTTTACTGGTATGCAGCGTTCTCGGTCTCAAAGTTTAAAGTTCACGTGTTGTTTTTTTTTGTTTTTTTTTCCAGTATAAAGGGAAGTAACTTTTCCACTTTTGCTCATTCATATATAATTTTTTTAAATTTTTTATAAGCATTTAAGGACTTTGTTGTTATACTCAGAGTTGATTTTGGGCTTTAATTCTCTTATATAAAAGGCTTCCAGGATTTTTAGTTTTTACTTATTATTTTTATGTAATATAGATGTATTTTCGACTAATAGCTGTCTAATCTGTGAATGTGGGCATGAGTGTTCCTTTAAATGCTGAGATATGGAACTATGCTCAACCAAGAAATTAATCCGCGAACTTGAAAGGATCTCAACAAAAACATGATATGTCTAAATTTATTTAACCAAACCTGTTTGAACATATATATATATATATATATATATATATATATATATATATATATATATATGGAAAAAGGCTATAAATTCACTATTGCCAACAGTCCAGAAAAAAAGTTCCATACTCACTAACAAATACAGAAAACGGACAATGAGACATTAAAAGAACATAAGGAAAATTTATTCCTTTTAAAAATGTATTGATTTTATTTGCCTGAAGAAGGTCACGAGACCGGAAACTCGTGTAGCAGAAATATGAAGAATAAAATCCAATATGTATACTAAAAAATCCACTTTATAACAAAAAATGTTCAGCGTTTCTCTCTTTATATAAATATATATATGAAGAAATATAGTCTTAAGGTGTGCTATATTTATGGGATAAAGTGCTCAATATCAGAGATAGAGCGTGTGTAAATATAAAAGTGAACATAGAAGTCAACACTTAGAGGCGACAGTCTGTTTCATTTTTTGTCGGCTATTTATATATATACGGGTCAGTGGTGCATTGTGGGTAATCTAATATGGCGGTTATTTTACCGGAAGTGGTTTATTTATTTAGTTGGGTTAAATTATTTTGCTTGTTTTTATTTATTTTTATTTTTTGTTTCTTATTTTATTTATTCTAACTATTATTTAGGCGGGAACAGTTTTTAATTTGTATTTATTTGGATTGATTATCTTTATTTGTTTCTAACTTTATCGGGATATGTTTATTTATTTATTTGGATGAATTTAAGTCAATTTATTTGACTTGTTATTATTTATTTGTATGTTTTCTCTTTTCGGTTTTCGATTTTTAAGTAACGTAGTATATATATATATATATATATATATATAATAAATAGCCGAGAAAAAATAGTAGCACACGTGGCCTGACGATTGCATATAGCATGAAACAGACTGTCGCCTCTAAGTGTTGACTTCTATGTTCACTTTTATATATATATATATATATATATATATATATATATATATATATATATATATATATATGCGAGTATAATATGTGTTTTATGATCATTTTTACATAATAAATAGAGGTTCGCGTTATACACAGGTACTTTTTTTGAAGAGGTTAAAAATCCTTTTATTTTCAGTGACCAGTTGTACTATACACAGGTAACTTTTTTCTGCATAATAAAACAGTAACCCTGACAAAAAGGTTGTCATTGAAATGGCAATACTTCAGCGATGTAAACACTTGCGAAAAGAAGATTAATGCAATTTTGAGATAGGAAAAAATCTACTAATTCTTCATTTACATAAAAAGTATTTATTTATTTAATCTCGCATACATGGTGATGTAGTTTTGCTCTTCCTGTAGCGACAAGAAGAAAGAAACGTAGGAGGCAGGTCCAGGGTAAAGGAGCTACCGTAGTGAGGCATGAACGAAAACAAAAGTACGGTATCTAAATTTTTGTGTCACGTATTTTACGGTAAGTAGTTTTTTTTTCTCAGCATTTTGGAGTAGCTTTGTACAAAAAAGAATGAAGGCCATTTATTGCAAAATTTCACAACGGTAGTGGGGTGCCTACTAGCATTGCTCGGAAGATAGCGTCGCATTATATACGAGATTTTCACAAAAGCATTCAGGGATCACACTATATATGGGGTCGACTTATACACAAGTATATACGGTAATTCTCACAAGATCGTGTAAAGGATTTGGAACTCTACCGGTGCTGAAAAGTGAGGATTGGGCATCTCTCGCACAGCGTGTGGTTGCACACACATATACACACGTACATACATTTTGATTTTTATATATTATATATGCCATTCGATCTGAAATCAAATAACGGCCTTAGGTGAAATTTCGCAGAAAAATCTAGGAAAATTCACAAGTATTTTTTGATCAAATTTATTAATAAATTTCAAATATTTGATCTGTATGTTTAATAGCTTAAAAATCGGAGCATCTTTTTCACATCCCCATAAGCTGGCCTCCTTGTGCCTTTTTTATAAATACTTCCATGGCAATTGTTCGGATGAGCTCATCGCTATGGTACCTTGACTTTTTAAATTTAAGCTCAGTAACAGACTGGGGTCGATAACTCATCAATTGACATTTGAGCTGACTAGATGTAGCCGTAAGTTCTATGTTAAGAGTTTCTTTTCTCGCACTTCTCGCTTGTGGAACTCCTTTTCGGCTCCATGCTTTCTGACCAACTTTAATCTTCAAAAATTTAAATACAACGTCAATCGCTATCTGCTGTTCTCCTAATTACTCTTTCTTCCTCCCGTTCATTAATAATGTTTTTTTTTTCTTCCTCGCCCCATAACCTCTTGTGTTTATTGGTTTTACTGTCTTACACTGATTTAAAAATCAAAAAAAAAAAAAAAAAAATCTTGAAATTTATACATATTAGGAGCGATGACAAAAATAATTGCCTGCTGTGAAGAAATGTGTCAGCACTCCCTTAAAATTCTTTCTATTTAGTGTATTCCTTGAATCCCAACACAGGTAAGGAAGCCCACCCCCATATCGTCAAAGCATGAAAGACTGTTTTCATAGCTGCTGCTGCTTCTGCTGCTAGCAGTGTTGTATCAATAGTCTCCATGACAACTGGCAATGCTTCATCATTTCTTTCTGCTACTTTCTGTGAAGAACTCTTGAAGGAGGGAATCTCTCACAGCTTTCGTTATCTGCGTCTTTTACTTTGTAAGGTTTGTTCCGACGTAGCTTTCGAAGGATACGTTTTCCTTTCTTTTATTTTTCTTTCATTTTTCTTTCATAATCTCGAAATATCAGTTAGGAAAAGTGGCATAAATAATATTGAAGAAAAAAAAACCCCACAAGAAAATTATTCAAAGCGTAGAACAAAAGGAAATGTTAAAAATGTCGTTGGTATATATTTGGCTAAAACTCACTTTGTTTTTTTGCTTGGCGCTTGGACGTTCTCAGACTGGATTCACCTGGAGACAATGTGGTTAGTTTTTGATTTTTCTTTTTAATATTGTTTATAAAAACAGTTTATTTATTTTACTGTTAAATTTACTGCCAATGTTTATATTTCCTTTTACAATTCTTTTACATCAAATTTAAAAAAAAAAATTATCTCTTTTTCAATATCTGAGCCCAGGGCAGATGCGTACTAACCCCGAATCTCCGACCTTGTAAACCTGATTGATGGTCCCAGGCAGTGTTTTGTGACCCTCACTATTTTACCAATATTTACGTTTTTTTTTTTTTTAGCTACATTACTTTACAAATTAAACTAAGCACAACAGACTATTAAAGGATGAAAAATGTTCGCAGATTTCGGGGTCTTTTTTTAGGTACGAATCCGTGAATTTCTTTTGCTCATGTTAAGTCGCGAAAAAAAAAAAAAACACCATATAAAATTGACTATTTTTTTTATTCCTAATGTTGAATTGTATTAAAATTATTTAACTTTTTAACAAGAAAAATCTCAAGTTGTAAAAAATTGCCGCAAAACATTGTTGATTTATTTAAGATGGAATGATCTATTATGACATGTCACGAAATTGTATTTAGAATTTTAAATATATTGTATTTATTTTCAATTTTTCTAGTTGAATTGTTCACTTTTATTGCATATGATCCATTATTGTACGTAATTAGGTTATAATAAAATTTGTATTTTATACGAATTTTACTTTATAAAAAATCGAGATGTAGTCAAGTATAGTATCCCGTATCATAGATACTGGGGGGATATCATGAATGGGGGGGGGCACGAGACCCTGTCACCATCTGAACTTGTCTCTTTTTTATAGAATTTAAAGGTTGATTTCTCTATCAATCTTTCAACCTCTATTACTTTTTCTCCCTTAATCTCTCTGTCAATCTTTCTCTCTCTCTCTCTCTTTCTTCTTCTTTCTCTCCTTATCCCTTCTACTTTTTATCAAGCTTTCTTTTTTTTTCTTCACTTTCCGTCTATCATTCTTTCGTCCTTTTCCTTTCCGTTTTCTCACACACACACACTCTCTCTCTCTCTCTCTCTCTTTCACTCTTTCAATATCTATTTTTCTTTTTCAGTGTCTCTTGTTTTTTTTTTTCTGTTTCATCCGTTTTTTTTTTCCTTCTCAAAAAGTTCGATTAAGTTGCGCCAAGGTGAATCGATTTGAGTTGTGTTTAATTTTGAATGTCTGAACATAAGGAGGAGTTAGCATTATTTACATTTAAGAACTAATGTCCGCTTATGCTACCAGACTAGTTTTCCGTTTACCGGGTACGCTGCAAAATAGCAGTACGAAAGCAGTAGCGTTCAAGATGGAAAGGGAAGGGGGTGCAGTAGCGTGCAGAAGTGGGTGGATGAGGGTGCGATGGCCCCGAGCATCAATATCGGGAGAGCATCCGATGAAAGAGTGAAATAAAAATTAAGTTTATATTTAATTTGAATAAAGTATTTATTTCATGTTTCATCTGTTTTTAGTACATATTTAAAATGTCTTTCTTTCTCACATTTTCTCAATACTAGGCCCTGTAGACACCCCTATACTTGAGTCATAGGGGGGATACAATGAAAGAGTTGGTCCTGGGCACCACCAAACTTCTGCACGTCACTGGTGGGAGGTAGTTATCGAGATAGACAAAACAAAATTCCCCAGTAGAAAATACGACAGGGCTAAAACGGTAAATGGTTGCTGGTTTTTCGGATATGGGGAAAGAGAAAAGAAGCAGATTTTTTTCCGGGGTTGTAGAAGACAGGTCGGTTTTGACTTTAATGCCCATAATTAAGAAATTCCTGCCAAAACAGGGAAACTGGAAAGAATTTTACGAATGCTATTTAATAGATTATACCGGGATTAAGAGCAAAAGTATCCAAATCGTGTAACAGCAAAATTGTTCAATTATTAGATTAAGTTCTGAACCGTTGTATCTTAGAAATGATCAAAGTTATCTTACTGGAATTCTCCGAGATTTTTATAACACTATTGGAGTCTACGTTGAGCAATAAGAATATATAATTACTCTCCAAGATTAACAGAAGTATCGTGATAAAATTGTTCATAAACGAAAATGACATGTACATTATTAATTAATCATAGTTAAGGATCAGAAGCTCATGAAGGATTTATATAAAGTTCATATATATATATATATATATATATATATATATATATATATATATATATATATATATATTCCAGGATCATTTTCAAACTTATTTAAGATGAACTTCGTCCTCTCTAACCTTCTAACTTTCTGTCCTGGAGTAAATAGGTGCTTCACACGTTCCACGTACGATTTTATTTTCAGCTTTTTTTTCATTGCTCTTTGAACTGTCATAGGTGAAACTCCTCTCTCATGTGCGAAACGACTTATAGATTGAGTTGGATCTTTTCTAATTGATCTCTTTAGCTCTAAGTTGAAATGATGATCTCTCTTCCTGTTGTGACCCCTGATCCAGTTTTCCTCTTTGCTGTTCCCTCTTTTTTTAAAACTTATTCACCGTTCTCTTGATAGTTCTTGAATGGAATTTGAAGATGGAAGCCAGTGTATGAATGTTGGTACCATTAGTGAAGGTCTGAATAATATTTTCCTCTCACCATTGCTCAGTTGGGAAGACAGTGGGTCTGACAAAAAACGATTTTAACCTGTTCTTTTTCTAGCTGAATAACGCACTGGGTTTTTCAGTGATTCTTACGATAAATGGTGTCAAGGTTGGTAAACGTTTCATTTGAAAACCTGGAAAAAAGAAACTGAATTAGTTTAGTGTGTTTTTAGATATTACATTTTTTGTGGAATGGACAATTACGCTGTTACACGATTTGGACAATTTTGCTGTTACACCTGGTATATTCCGAAAAAATGTGCGTCCACTTTGAAGACGAAGAATTCTAAAAGTTTCTGGAAAGATTTTAAAAAATGTCTACCGCCCAAATGAAGAAGAAGAAGAAGAAGAAGAAGAAGAAGAAGAAGAAGAAGAAGAAGGTATTTGATGGTTAATGATATGGGACAAGAATTTATTGTTAAAATATAAATTTGAGAATTTAAATTCAAATGTTTCATTAAAAAATAAAGAAAAAATAATAAATTGACGAGAAATTATTTGCCATTTTGAACCTAATACGCAGTGTGCCCGGTAAAAAAAAAAGACACTAGTCTTATCGCAACGTTTTGGTCGTTGTTCTCTCCAGTCTTCTTCATGCGTCTGCCGATACAGGTATCCTTTAGGGAATGTCGAAATAAACCCTTTACTGAATCTAGATTGTTCTCCTTCCATTGTCATGTTTTTCACCGGGGTGTTCTCCTTCCATTGTCCATGTCTATGAATATCACGTCTTGTCTTTGTGTTGCGTTTCAACTCAGTTCTGACATCAGGTTCATTGACAAGGTGCATTTTTTTTTTCCAGCCAAACTCTTGTGGCTTAAAAATTACACTTCGGCCAGATCGTTACCCCCCCCCCCCCCGTGAAAAACATGACAATTTCTCGCAAATAATTTGCTTAATATTAATTTGCCTGTTTTTTTTTCTTGTTTTTTGTTATTGTTTATTGGAAATTTTGCCAATTTTGTTTGTTGATCATTTTTATCAATTATACTTAACGATGACCAGTTACTCTTTATTAAAGATTTCAGTTCACGAATATGATTTTTTTTATTATGCAGTGTAACCCGGATATAAGAGAAACCCGGATATAAAAGAGATTTTCTCTGGTCCCAAATTAGAGCCTGTATTAATATATATAAAATAGACCAAACCCGGATATAAGAGAAACCCGTATATAAGAGACCTCTTCTCCGGTCCCGACAACTCTCTTATTTCTATAAAAATTAATATGGGGAAAGTTTGCTTATGTAAATTTTCCTTAACTAGTTGTACCCGTGAAAATTTCACAGTTTTCCTGATTTAATTTTTCTTTCTTTTTTTTCTTTCTTTCTTTCTTTCTTTCTTTCTTTCTTTCTTTGAAATCAAACAGCATCTCTGATATGCCTTTTACGTCTTTCCTCGCAGTCAAAACTGAACAGTCCATTATTTATGAAGGTATTGGCACAGCGTTTCTTTCTTTCTTTCTTTCTTTCTTTCTTTCTTTCTTAGACATTCCAATCTCTTTCTTTCTCACATGCACATTCTAATGCCTTTCTTTCTTCTTTCTTTCTTTCTTCTTTCTTTCTTCCTTTCTTTCTTTCTTTGAAATCCAACAGCGTCTCGGATATGTCTTTTACGTCTTTCCTCGCGGTCAAAACTGAACAGTCCATTATTTATGAAGGTATTGGCACGGCGTTTCTTTCTTTCTTTCTTTCTTTCTTTCTTTCTTTCTTTCTTGTTTAAGTTCTCCCGTTTTCTTTTCTAAGTTCTTTCTTTTTTTTTTCTTTCTTTCTTTTGTTTGTTTGTTATTCTCACTTAAATCAAACAGATTAAAAGAAAATTAATTGTAAATTCCCTCAACTCTCCACTGAAAGCCAAAAATTAGAAGATGCTTCCAAGTAGCCACAAAGAAGCATTTAATCGTTTATTTTTCAAAACATTTTTCATATATTTACTTACGATTAATTATTTTCTTTGGAATATGATATTGCGATGTTAATGTAGTGTTTATTTTCCATTTGCAGACGACCAACAGACTTTTCTTTTAGAACACTTAGACGTCAAGCCTTACCCAGTGAAGATTCCCGGTGATATGGTATTTTCGCTAAACATGACGCTGCTTCGGGAACTAAATGGTTCTGATATCTTCATTTCAATCTACTGGAAAACTTTCATGGGGAATATCAGGATTCCTTGCCTTTTCAATCTGGGTTCATGGTATGTCTATAAATCTTGTTTATTTTCCATTTTCAGTCAGTCAATTAAGTGCCCTACGTGATACACGTTTGGACGACCATGTCTTTCGATCCATGAATGACCAGGCGATAGATTTTCCCCGCAACAAGTTGCTATTTCTTTCTACGGTAAACTGGTTGCAAACCAAGGCTATAGGACCCAGTCTTTGTTATTTAATCCATAGCTGGGGGAGAAGGGATAGATTCACACCTTTCCCAAGCGTATTTGCACGTAAGTGAATGTAATGAACTCGACTGGAATTCGAACTCAGCTCTCCGATTTTTCAATTCGAGCCGATAGAATCCCTATGTACGAGTATTAATACAGAGAATTATTTTATATCAGCACAGCATATCACCAACGTCTCTACATTTTTTTAAAAATTAAAAAATCGTTGAAAATATTGTTAGGTTGCCTTGTGTAGTATCTGTCGTTGGAAAAGATAATTATCCTAACAATTACAATTTAATTTCAAAATAGGGTGGCCAGAAGAAGTTGGAAGAATATAAATGAAAATTTTATCTCCTAAAAAAGAACAAAGTGTAGAAATGCATTACATGCCTTCTCTCTGACCCTGAAAAGGAAAACTAGTGGATGCTACAGAAGAGTGTCGTTACTCTTAAGTATTATTGCAAAAAGACTGTCTCTGCACAAGTCCTGGATGCATCTTCTCTGTCCGGTGTCTACAAAAAGTGTATTCTTTGTAAAGAGAGCTTTCCCCTGATTGATATTTAAGAGTCTCATTGTCGGCCAAGTGTCGAACATATTAATTGAGGAAGAGGAAGAATTCTTCTTCTTCTAGATCATGGCTCTCCACAGGGAGTTCCTGTTGTTTCCTCTCTTTGTCTGCTGTGCCATCTTCATATCTTATGTTATTCTTTAGCTGACCATTATACATTCTCTCTTTTTACAGTTGATGTTTAGTCCTTTCTTCTTATTTTCTTTTGCTACTTTCTGTAGATTCCTTTCTATGTCTGCTATCATCACTCTCATCCGTCTAATGTTGTTAAGATTGCGGTTGCCAATAATGGATCCTAATTATCTCAGGATTGCTTCACTGTAAAGGATAAATAAGTCTGGTGAGAAGACACACCCTTGTCTTACACCCTTTCTATTTTTGTGTATTTACAGATTTCATTTTCTATCCTCATGCAGGCGGTTTTGCTGCCAGGATGTTCTGCATTATTCTTACCAAATAAATCAAGCTTACCTGGCAGTTCAAACAGTTCTTTGGGACGTGACTTTTCAAATGCTTTTGCATATTATATAAAACATAGGTAAACATCACTTTGCATTTGTATTAAACACGAAATAAATATTAGCTGTTATTTTTCGGAATTAAAATATAGTAAAAAGTAAAATTAGATATCTTTTTCCAGAGTATAGCAAAAACAATTGTAAGACATTTATAACTATAAAGATGAAATCTTATTAAAGAAAAAGATGCGCTCTATGACAGGATTCGAACCTGCGCGCAGGAAAAATCGTCGTTAAATCCGACGCGCTTCTGGACTAGGAAACCCACAAGAGGAGATTTCATTACACTGTAAAGTTATTTACAACTTATTGTTGAAGAGAGAAAAACTGATTTTTAAACCTCTTGACAGTCGATCTTACAAAAAAAAACAAAAAAAAACATTCATCCACCCTTTGACCTTATTTTTAATTTTGCTGGGTGTCACCAGAAAATCCAGATAGTGGGAACTGGTTTAGTCACTGCTGACGCAATCATGTGACAGGTAATACTGCGTTACAAGGTGCCAGTAGCATTTGCAGAGTAACATACCTCGCAAATGTATTACATTAGATGGAAACCTATGAGCGAACCGTAAGCACTGTTTAAAAGTTGACATTTGTCAATGAAAACAAAGTAGAGATAACGCTTTAGAAAAAATCGGGGGCCGATTTATATTATGAACACATTTCTAAAATTATAAAAATCATTCTTTTTTTATTCTGGCAAATGTCGTGGCTTGAAAAATGGGTAATGAATGAAGCTAATCCACGCAAATTATGGCCGTCCCATTCCCTATTTTTGCCTATTTTTTAAGAGCGGACCAGTCTATTTAAGTAGTTCCAATATTTCTAATTAAAACAAATATAAACCGAAATGCTCGTGGAATATTTAGCATAAAAATATTAGTATGTCCTGAAAATCTGACCTCGAGTATATACATAACACACAGCTTTTTTAATGGTTTCACCCCAGGCAAGGCGATAATGCCACTAAGACGCAGAGGTTTACAGAGAGTGAAAGAGAATGAGAAGACTGATAATAGGGAGAAATGAAAAAAGGACAGTAAAGGTACAGGGTTTGAGAAGACAGAAGATGGCGATTGACGTTGCATTTCAATTTTTGAAGGTTGTAGTTGGAAGGGAAGCAAGAAATCGAGAAGGGAGTTTCACAAACGGGAAGTGCGAGCGAAAAAAAAACTGTTAGAATAGAAAGTGGCGGTTGGATTTAAATATTCCAACAGTAACCGGATGTGACCTAATTGCCAATCTAGTAGAACGCTTAAATTCATGTAGTCGGGGCAGCAAGGGAAAAAGCTCGCCAGATCCGTTGCCATGAAAATATTTGTAGAAAAGACAGAGGGAAGCGACATGACGCCGGTGTGAAAGTGACTGAAGTCGAGATGCCAGGTTAGGATCAATTACATTGCAGATCCTTCTTTGGATTTTGTTAAGAATCGCGAAATGTACGACAGTAGCACCAGACCAGATATGGCAACAGAATTCAATGTGTGAACGAATAACATTGTTTTTAAAGAACTTTAGAATACTTGTGGTGATATTGTTGATTTCTATGGTGCGTTACGTGGAATCGGTTAGCCGAATTCAAATTTCAACTTGGTCTGTTGCATTCACTTTCGCACTGATGCCCTTGGGAAAGGCATAAACCCATACCTTGCTCTTCAAACTATGACTTAAAAGGGAGGACAGAATGAACTTCCCGTGCCTTGGTTGGTAGCCAGTCTAAGAGAAACAACGTTAAACATTCCTTTTTAAAAGTTGTAATATTTTTAATTAAAATTTGATGTATATGTAGTGAATGGCAGCAGGGATGCAAAAATTAAGTAAAGAACGATAATGTATATAAAAGGTAAAGGTTGATGATGATCTCGGAAATATCTTTTCGCATTGACACACCTATTAATAGCATTTTATTTTATTTTTGACAGCACCTACAGGAATGCGTGTACCCTCATGGATCGAATCATCAAAGAGAATTGGGGTGGTTTCACGTCATCTTTTGCTTCACAGATAAAAAATATCTTAATAAACAATGGCGTCAGTTTGTTGTGTCCGGTACAGCCACAAGATATCCGGTTGCAGAACGAACGATTGCGCATGCCCACCATTCCATCATTCCTGAGCTATTTCACCGGCGTGAGTAATCTTTCTTTCTTTCTTTCTTTCTTTCTTTCTTTCTTTCTTTCTTTCTTTCTTTCTTTCTTTCTTTCTTTCTTTCTTTGTACACTCTTCTTTCTTTCTTTCTTTCTTTCTTTCTTTCTTTCTTTCTTTCTTTCTTTCTTTCTTTGTAAAATATTTCTCTCTTTCTTTCTTTGTAAAATCTTTCTTTTTTCTTGTACATTCTTTCTTTCTTTCTTTCGTTGTAAAATTTTTCTTTCTTTCTTTTTTCTTTTTCTCTCTTTTTTGTACTTTTCTTCTTTCTTTCTGTGTGAAATCTTTCTTTCTTTCTTTTTTCTTGTACATTCTTTCTTTTTTCTTTCTTTCTATCGTTGTAAAATTTTCCTTTCTTTCTTTTTCTTTCTTTTTTGTACACTCTTCTTTCTTTCTTTGTAAAATCATTATTTCTTTCTACAGTCTATCTTTCTTTTTTGTACACTTCTCTCTTTCTTTCTTTGTTAAATCTTTCGTTTATTTTCTTGTACATTCTTCTTTCTTTCATTCTTTCTTTGTAAAATTTTTCTTTCTTTTTCTTTGTTCTCTTCTTTCTTTCTTTCGTTCTGTTGTAAAATCCTATTTTTTTCTTTCTACAGTCTTTCTTTTTTTTACACTCTTCTCTTTCTTTCTTTGTAAAATCTTTCTTTTTTTCGTACATTCTTTCTTTCTTTCTGCAAAGACAAGCTTCGTGCAGTAGTAATCCAAATGTTGTACATTGATGTGCGGGTAGCGTAAGTGTTATCAGCGATAAAAGTGAAATTAGCGAACCGTGTTCAAGATCCGTCCTGGTCTGTTGCGTTCACTTACACACTAACTCCATCTCATTTCTATACCTCCAACCATGGGGTAAATTTGGGGCTCTTTAGCTTTGGTGGCAACACTATTCTGAAGTCAAAACCGCGGAGAAACGAACTGGAAATCATACACAGTCCGTCCCAATAAGTCATGGCAATTTGCATATATTAAAGAAAAGGAAGCTGTGAAGACCCATAGATCCATAAATTACATAGTATTAAAAAAAAAGATTCTTCTATGTGGATAATGCAGTCTGCCTTCCTTGTAAATCAGCATTTGAAATTCGGACTTTTACTCAGGTTCGAACACTGACCTTAATCGCTGGCTGGAAATATGTAACCGCGAACCCTAACTTAGTCTGACACAAGGCCATAGCATTCTAGGTGGTACTCATCACTCGAGCGAATGATTCATTTGCTTTTCCAATTATTACAAAGTCGTAAATAAATTAAATTCTGGAATTTAAAAAAAAGACGCAGTTTTATGATTTAACTGATCTTTCCCCTGATCGAGCTTTAACAGCTCAAATTGGAAAACTGACTTGTAGCATTCAATACATCTAAAACTAAGCTAGTAACATCATGTCATCACCGAATAGACCCTGAATCTACTCCGGTCACAATGAACAGTTGAAATCTCAATGATGTTCCTTGCCTTGAATGCCTATTGGGTCTCCAGCCCACGCGAAACCTCAAGTGGAACTCATATATGCGAACGAGATGCTGGAAAAATGGTCGGCTCTTTTTGCTACTCCTGCCAATGCTCTATATTTACAAGAATCAGATCAGACTAAAAAGGGGGAGCATTGCTGTCATATGTGGACTGGAGATCCACAACCCTTACTTTTCTAGCCTTGACAGAGTTCAAAAACGTTGACGCGACCTTGTGGGTGATGAATAATTTTCCACCCTAAAACCCCTTTCACAAATATGAAACATCGCATGCCTCTTACTACTTTATCGCTATTTCCATGGCAAATGTTCAGACAAGCTATATTCTTTAGGGCCACCAGTTCAGACCTTTACAGCTAAGAGCCGCAATGCCACATATACAAGCTCGAATCATCATCGTTTTATTTGTATTTCATTGTTAAGTTCTATTCAGGCAGCTTCTCGATAACGTTTATTTTATGAGACAAACTCCCGAAAGGATGCTGCCTGATCACTACGATCTTATTTTTTTTTTAAATCTAGGGTCAACATTTATATATCCTGCATATCCTTCACTTATTTCCTTCTCCTACGTCCGTCCAAAAACTCATTCAGTCACCCTTTGGATGACACTTGAACCTTGTAATGGTTGAACATTTAGTAAAGAATTTTCGATTTATACAACTTTTAAAAATATTTTTTAAAATATTATTATAATTAATTAAATGCGATTTTTCTTTAGGACGTGGGCGATTACGGTCCTCAGGAGTTTCTTGTTTATGTGTGATTTACTATACTTTTTAAGCTATTGTACTGATTTCACGTTGCTTTTCCCACTGTTTAGAATTTCATTCTCTTAGACTGGTTGCCACTCAGGGCTATAGGTCCTAAACTGCTCTGTTATTTAACCCATAGGTGCGGGGAGAAGTGATAGATTAACGCATTTCCCAGTGGTATTAGTGCGAAAATGAGCACAACTGATTTGGCTAAATTTTGAATTCGGTTCGCCGATTTCACGTTCCCCACCGGATATATATATATATATATATATATATATATATATAAGCAAATATATGGATATAGATCCGACAGTATGAAGAAAAATATACAGAAAAAACAACGGGGGTGGGGATTTCTTGAACTGTTTATATAGAATAGTTCAATCGACTTTTTTAATATTTTAATATTTGGAAATCATCTTCGAATACGTTTTCACAACATCGCCCACGTGACGACGACGTGATCATATTTAAACGGAACGCTGATTTTATATAAAAATTTCAGTTATCTGTTTGGATTAGTTGTGCTCTTATGTCCATCGTCTTTTCGTGTTGAATTTTTATATGTTTTAATGTTAATTATGTTTAAATGAAAATGTCCATGAAGATGGTCTTAAATAGACCGAAACGTCCGACGTCGACTTTATATTAACATTAATACAGCATAATTGCATATTAAGATATTTGTTTGTTTTTTTCTGTATATTTTTCTTCATATATATATATATATATATATATATATATATATATATATATATACTCCTACATCCTGACTGTTATAATAGTTTGTTAAATAAAATAAAACAACTAAATCCTTTTTTCTCGAAGAATAAAGTTGATAGCAGCAATGACAACGTAGTTCCCAAGTAATGACCACAGACCTAATAAAGTTTAACTGTTAAAGTATATGATATATACGGTATATCACGATTAGGAATCCCGTAACGCATCAGGGTCTAAAGGGCAAATCTACTGCAGCCGCAGTAGAAGTGGTGTGCCTTTGACAGTCCCAGCCGAACCCTATCCAGGCTGGTTGCAATTCAGAGTTTTCCTTTTCCTAGATTAGTCGCCACACAAAGTTATAGAACCCAGTTTGTCCTACTATTTATCCATAGTTGGGGGCAGGAAGAAGATATGGATTCATACCTTTCGCAAGTGAATGTAAGGTACTCGACAATATGTAATCTCAGAATACTAGGCAATATAAGGAAGGCAGAAGTGTACATCGGTCCAGATCACGCTCACGAGTTCCATAACCCATTAGGGTCTAAGGGCAGTAAAAGCGGTGTTTCTTGGGCAAGATAGCCTAACGGAACCCAGCCCTCTCCAGGCTGGTTTGAATTCAGAGTTTTCTTTATCCTAGACCGGTTGCCACCCAAGGCGATATTTTACCGAGGCTATTTACCCATAGTTAGGAGGGAGTAGGGATGGATTTATACCTTTCCCAAGGGAATGTAATGAACTCGACTGGAATTCGAACTCGGCTCTCCGATTTCTCAACCGGAGTCGCCATCCATTACTCCATCGCGCCTCCATCTATAAAGTATATAAAATTGTTAAAGAACTACTTTACCTGCAGTTAGTTGCCTCTAGTCTCTCCCACTGATTAGCCAAACTATGTTAAAAATAAATCGAAGTCGATGTGGCATACGCGATACATGCCTGTTCGATCATGTCTCTTTCGATTCAGACTAGACAGATTTTCCCCGAAGTAGCTTGCCATTTCTTTCGGTGGTAGACTGGTTGACTATCCAGTCTGTCCTGCTATTCAACCCAGAGGAGGGAGAAGAGGTGGATTCATGCCTTTTCCAACGGTGTTTGCGCGAATGTAACGAACGATTTCTCATTTCGCTATCCCATGGTGGAGTAATGGATAACGGCTCGGATTGGGGAATCAGAGAGTCGAGTTCGAATTCCAGTCGAATCCATTACATTCGCTTACATGCTAATACCCTTGGGAAATGTGTGAATCCTCTTCTTCTCTCCCTCCAGCTATGGGTAAATAGCAGGACAGACCGGGTTCTATAGCCTTGGATGGCAACTGATCTACCAGTGCGGGAAAAAAATCTGCCTCGTCGAAAGATACATGATCGCCTAAGCGTGTATCACGCATGACACATAACTGACTGACCCCATTATACAGTACCACCCTTGGGTGTAATGGGTGCTTACTTCTAAGTAAGAGCGACGTTTATTAATGATACCTCCAATCATTTCCATGACCGTTCTATAACCGATTCTTTTCACGGGTAAACCTCTGAGGTCAAGTAATCCAGTGGCCAATTTTAATTGACCAATTAAGTAGTTGCCATACAGATCTGTTATCATTTGATCCCCTGGGGTTTTCTATTCTATGACTGAGTATCAGATGGAGAGTTATTTTCTGCTTCAGAAATGGTTGAGATTCTTATGGAAAAAAAATAAAACAAACAGCGGATATAAATTCAGCTTTTTATCCGAAACGTGGACAAAATTCCAGTCTCGTAAATCAAAGTTCAATATATAAAAAGAAACAAATTTAACATTGTAAATTCAAGGAACTTTTAATTTAGATTTTAATATCAAACTGAGAAATTAATTTCACACAAATTCCCATCTTTTCTGCCTCTCTATGGATTAATTAGCAGCGTAGACAGGACATTCTAGCCTTGATTAGCAGCCAGTCATAATTCGAAACCGTTGCGAAATTAATCGCAAACCACTCCCCAAGAAGATGTGACAATTTAAAGATGATAAAGAAAAGGAATTGTCTCTATCCAGAAGTTAGGTAATATTAAAAAAAATTAAGAAAAAAAAAATAATTCAGTTAAATACTTGTGTTTAAGTTGAGGCTCCGACAGAAAAAAAAAAATTGGTGTTCACTTACATATGCGTCAGTCTGTTCGGGTTGAAAACTGTGCCTAAAAGAAAGTTTAAGTAACAACGAATAATTTTGCATATAAAAATATTCACAATTATTTTTTGTATTACACTTATTTCCTATTTAAATTGACTTAATTGGTGTTGTGATGTCTTCTAGTCTTGGACGTAGAAAGTCCTTCATCGACTGAGTGATGATTTAGCAGTCGTTGGATTCTATGCAAAATAGGTCAAGTCCATTTTGTCTATATCACTACAAATGGAACGTAAATAATTTTTGTTGACATTTCTAGTGTTTTAGTAGGAAGGAGACTTATAAGAAATGGTGAACTTAATGTCTTTAAATGCTAAGTGATTTTTGTTTTCAGACCATCAGTTTATATAAGGACATGGGACTTTTAGTTTTTTTTTCTGTGCGACCAGAAATAATTTCTTTTTTCATTTTTTTTTTCATATTATTATGAATTAAAAACTCCAGATCACAAAAATAAAATCTTAATTAAATTTTATAAAGTAAATAGGAGAATTCAGTTTGCTATATAAATTGACCCCAACTCTTTCTTATTCATGTGCAGTGGCCCCTAAGGAGGTAAGCGATCATGGCTTTCCACAACTTCCTACCCCTTTTAGCTCTTAATAAACTTTGTCTTTCTGTTATTTCTCCGAAGCCATGTTTCGCCATCCATTTACTCAAGCTCACTGATTAAATTTTACTAATTAACCCATAGCTGGAGGAGAAGAGGTGCATTCATGAGGGTATTTGCGTGTAAGGGAATATAACAAACTTCGATTTCCAATTTCGAGTCGTTGCACCACCTGCACATCCAAGCTTACAGCACCTGGTATTCCCAAGCGGTTACCCATCTAGGTACTGACCAGGCTCGACCTTGCTTAACTCTCGGTGATCGTACTAGAATTGGTGTCATAGCTGTACACCCAGTGGTTCTTAGGCCTTGTATTGGGTTCTTCTTTCTTCTTTGTGTGCCATCTCCTCTCAGGATGTAGGCGATCACGGCTCTCCACAATTTCCTGTTCTTTGTAGCCCTGTATAAATTCAGTCTTTTTGTTATCTCTCTTAAACTTTGTTCCGCCATTCATTTACTCAAGCTCGGCAGGTAGGTTATGCGTTGTTTCCCTTTGTTCCTCTTGCCCTCTATCTGTCCTGTGTGTATCATATTTTCCAAGCCCTCCTTCTTCATTATGTGCCACAGAGACTTCAACTGTCTCCTCCTCATGTTAAGTATTAGTTTCCTTTTTATTTATATTTTCTTCAAAACTTCAAAAATTGCTCACATGTTCGGTCCTATAGTATCCTCAGCATCCTTCTGTAGAACCACATTTTTATTGCTTCATATCTCCTCTTCACTTTTGAGGAGATCGTCCAGTACTCACTACAGTACAGGAGGACAGATGTCACATAATAGTTTAGTACTCCTTTCCTTGTTTCTAGAGAAAAAATATGATGACATGACGTGATTTCTTAAAAGGTAAAAAATGAACAAAATCTTTGAAATTCTTAATCCGAAATTTTTTTCATACATTAATATGGATTATTATTGCATTTTAAGAATTCGTTGATTGATTCGTTGCTTAGTTTTTGACGGTTTATCAACCCTTTTCATGTTATTTAAAGCCAGAAAATATTTTTAGATTGTAAGAATTTTTTTTTAGATAATAATGGTTTACTAATTCACCCATATCTGGGGGTAGAAGATGTGGATTCATACATATATCCTTCCAAGGGTATTTGCGCGTAACGAACCCAACGGGAATTGGAACTCGGCTCTCCGATTAACAACCATTATCCATTGCACCACCCACACATCCAAGCATAGAGAAACTGGCATTCCGAAGCGGTCACCCATCTAGGTATTGACAAGGCTCGATGTTGCTTAACTTCGGTTATCGTACGGGAACCGATGTTTCAACGTGTTGTGGCCGTAAGCTAAACCCACGTTTTAAGAAATGTCGTCGTATAGGTATATTCGTTTTAGTTTCTATAGGGAGCCAATTTATATTGAATTTAGATAGCAAACTGAACCCACCTGTTTTATAAAATTTAATAGAATATTTTTTTAGATATTCATCCTCATGGAGTGCTTACTCTATAGTAGATACCTCCGAAGATTCGCTAAAAAATGAGCATGCCATGATGAAAAAATACACCAAACTTAATAAAAACAAAGTTTTATAGTTGTTGTAGCATACCAACGGACGATTATGTCCCCATTCACATAAATACAGTCGGAGGTTCGTCTCCAGCTGTGTTGGTCAAACTCTCTGCCTCCGGGTGGAAAGGATCTCCAGACGAGGCTATGTCGAAGGGCAGAGTTTCGTCTCCGGAAATAGCTACCCGACTCCGTTTTTATACTGGATCTACGGGGAATTTTTGGTCGTGCCTATGGGCTCGGATACCCGACATTAAATTCGCGTGGGGTAGTTGGTAGATATCCCGTAGTTGGAGAGTTATTGTGGAATTCATTTGACTCACTTCTAGCAATTGACTACTCCTACGCGCCGCTGGCGAATCTTTTATGTGTTGTTCTTGTCCTAAGTATTATCGTTTATTAACAAATTTCGTTTGATTATTCTATTCAGTAACCTACCCTAGGTTACAACAATAGTCAAAACTTTATGTTATTATTAAAACGAAAGACCAAAGGATTTTTTTAATTATTATTAAGCTATATTTGTTATCCTTTTTAGAACGTTCCAAATTTTGATGAAAAATCTTGTTTTCTTGCGTCAGTGAAATAGAAAACCTCAATTTTGAATCCTTTCATCTTTAGTTTCTACATTAAATAACAACCAGAATTCATATTTATGTTTTCTATTGGAATATTTTGTTAAAGTTGTTAAGCTCAAATATTTAACGATGCGATATGGAAATTTCTATGAGTTCGATGATTTTAAATTATTTATTGGACTCGTAATTATGATCGATCAAAAAACTTAAACAGAAATACCATGAATTTTTTACGGGTACTGCAAGTAAATAAATTCTGAAATCTTGTCACTGAAATGCTTATTTCGGGAAGTGGGTTGGCCGAGAGCTTTTCGGTAGCCCTCTCATGTAAATTAATTTCGCCAGAGAGAGAGAGAGAGAGAGAGAGAGAGAGAGATCTTTGATAGATCTTTTTTTCATTCCCCTGGGAAACTGAACCTAATTCTATATATCTTGGCTTTCCCTTTACCTTCTCTTCGTTTCTTTGGCGACGCCATAATCGGACGATTACCAGCGACATCTCTGTGTCATCACTGCACCCATCCTGCGTTCATTTCTTTTCATAGTTCAGGGTCACAGGCAGGGAAAGGTCAAAGGGTGTAGCGAAGTCTGATTTATATTTTTGCTAATTTTTTTCCTCGCTTAAAAAACGTTATTTATTTATTTTTTTCCCCCTTCTTTGTTTCTGAGATTTTCTTGATGATATTCAGTTGGGGATAAGCGATTAAGTGTAATGACTCTTATCATGGCCTCGTATGTCCCGTTCACTTTCGCATTATTGACCTTGCGAAGACACGAATCTTGTCTCTTCTCTGCTACCCCGATCCCGGGATAATAGCAAGGCGGGCTGGTTTGTCTAGCCTTGGATGCCAACCAGTCAAAGAGATGGACCATTTAAAATTGTTGAATTCCATTCTACTATCTTTTCCAATATATCAACGTAATTGGCAGATAAAATAAATGAAATCTGTGCGAATCATGATCGCCTGCCTCCCGAGGTAACCTACCATTTAAAAGATATTCAATTGAATACAGTTTTGTTTTTTGGTCAGATATTTGAGTTAAAATAGACTAGTCGTGACCCATTGGGTTTGGGTCACTGACGGTTCAGCTTATGAAACATTAAAGTTAACTTCAGCATTAAAAATTGTCTGTTTGAAATAAAAATATTCACTGTACAAATAAATCGTATTTTTTAAATCTTATTCACTTAAAATATTTTTTAAAATCAGATTAACTTAAATACATTTATAATATTCCCAAAATATTTTAAGATCATATTCACTTGAAAATATTTTTTAACTATGGCAAAAAATATTTTTTTTAAATATTTAAAATATTGTCTGTTTAAAGAAAGCTGAAATATGAATAAACACGCACGAAATTGCGGAGGTGGAAAGATAGAGGGGTGAAAAGAGTGAGAGTTGGAAAGAGAGAGGTAGAAAGAGAGAAGTGGAAAGAGAGAGATATGGAAAGAGAGAGAGAGGTAAAAAGAGGGAAAGTGGAAAGTTAGAGAGAGATGGAAAGAGAGGTGGAAAGACAGAGATGGAAAGAGACAGAGGTGGAAAGACAGAGAGGTGGAAGAGAGACGTGGAAAGAGAGAGAAAGAAGTGGAAAGAGAGAGAAAGAAGTGGAAAGAGAGAGAAAGCAGTGGAAAGAGAGAGGTGGAAAGTGAGAGAGGCGAAAGAGAGAGTTAGAAAGAAAGTGAGAGGTAGAAAGAGAGAGAGAGAGAGAGAGAGAGAGAGAGAGAAGTGGAAAGAAAGGGGTAAAAAGAGAGAGGTGGAAAGAGATAGTGGTGGAAAGACAGAGAGCTGGAAAGAGAGACGTGGAAAGACATACAGAAGTGGAAAGATAGAAAGGTGGAAAGAGAGAAGTGGAAATTGAGAGAGGTGAAAGAGAGAGTTGGAAAGAAAGAGAGACGTAGAGAGAGAGATATTTGAAAAGAGATTGGTGGAAAGAGAGAGAGAGAAAGAGGTAAAAAGAGGGAAAGTGGAAAGTTAGAGAGAGATGGAAAGAGAGTCGGAAAGACAGAGATGGAAAGAGACAGAGGTGGAAAGACAGACAGGTGGAAAAGAGACGTGGAAAGACAGACAGAAGTGGAAAGAGAGAGAGAGAGAGAAGTGGAAAGAGAGAGGTGGAAAGTGAGAGAGGTGAAAGAGAGGGTTGGAAAGAGAGTGAGAGGTAGAAAGAGAGAGAGAGAGAGGTGGAAAGTGAGAGTGGTGGAAAGAGAGACGTGGAAAGACAGAGAGAACTGGAAAGAGAGAAAGGTGGAAAGAGAGAAGTGGAATGAGAGAGGTGGTAATTGAGAGAGGCGAAAGAGAGAGTCGGAAAGAGAGAGAGAGACGTAGAGAGAAGTGTATGAGAGAGGTGGAAAGTGAGAGAGGTGAAAGAGAGAGGTGGAAAGAGAGAGACGGAAAGAGAGACATGGAAAGACAGACAGAAGTGGAAAGAGAGAGAGGTGGTAAGAAAGTGAGAGAGAGAGAGAGAGGGGGGGATCGAGACAGAGATGGAAAGAGAGAAAGGTGGAAGGAGAGAGGTGGAAAGTGAGAGAGGCGAAAGAGAGAGTTGGAAAGGAAGAGAGAGAGAGAGAGAGAGAGAGCGGTAGAAAGCGAGAGGTGGAAAGAGAGAGGTGGAAGGAGACAGAGGTGGAAAGAGAAAGAGAGAGAGAGAGAGGAGGTGGAAATATAGAGAGATGGAAAGAAACTTAAATCTTTATACCGCCTACGGTCGACGTACTCACGATTCCTAGATTTTTAGGATTATATAGATATAGATATAGATTGTTGATATTGAGGATGTGAAAATCAAGCAGTTGAAGAAGATTAACTTATCTGAGTAGTGTAACAGCAGAAGACGGAAAACGTGTCACAGAAATCTGAAGGCGCTTAAAAAATCGACTACAAAATTTTTGTCCCTTTCAACCCAAGGGTCAAGCGATATCAATCCTACGCTGCCTGAGTTGGTCTTCGGCTTTGTATTAGGTGAACTAATAATTAATTGTTTTATGAAATCTTCATTAATGTTTGAAAAGAATTGATTGATTGATTTGTGTTTTTACCGTTTATCAACCTTTTACAGGTTATTTAAAGCCAGAAAGAGACAGAGTTGTAAAGACAGAGAGGTGGAAAAGAGACGTGGAAAGACAGACAGAAGTGGAAAGAGAGAGAGAGAGAAGTGGAAAGAGAGAGGTGGAAAGTGAGAAAGGTGAAAGAGAGAGTTGGAAAGAGAGTGAGACGTAGAAAGAGAGAGAGAGAGGTGGAAAGAGAGACGTGGAAAGACAGAGAGAACTGGAAAGAGAGAAAGGTGGAAAGAAATGATCAAGTTTTTTGATTGATTTGTTTTTTATGGTTTATCAACCTTTTGCAGGTTATTTAATGTCAGATAACATTTCAAGATTGTAAGATTTTTTTGACATATTTATGATTTACTAGTTCTAATTAACCCATAGCTGGTGGGGAGAAAAGGTAGATTCATAGCTTAGGGCATTTTCACGTAAGTGAATATCGCTAACTCGGCTGCAATTAGAACTCGGGTCTCCGATTTACAGTTCCATATCGTTATCTATTATACCGCATATCCAAGTTTACAGCAATTGGTATTCCCAAGTTGTCACCCATCTAGGTACTGACCAGGCTCGACTTTGCTTAACTTCTGTGATTGAACCTGATATGGTCGTAAGCCCTAAGCATTCCCTCAGCCATAATGCAGCTATCCTTTGTATTTTCTATAATTATTTTCAAAGTGATTTTTCGGATTAGCTTTCCTGGTCGGGTCACGTGTCCAGAATGCGTGTCACTCAACTCCCACCTACCATCCTGTTTGAAGAAGTCACCAGCGGCAAAAGGCAACACGGAGGCTCAAAACGATGATTCAAGGATCAAGTTGAAGACATCCTCGATATAGGCCAACATCGACATTAAGATCTGGGAAACCGTTGCTGGAAATCAGCTTTCCTGATGTATAACCATCGGCGGAGGTGGGCGGGGGAGACTTTCCAAGCACCGAAAAATCCTTCGTATCAGTTCGCAACAACGGTCACCTATCTCTGACATCTTTCCCCGGCATCGAGGATACCATTCTTTATCACCGCCTCTACTGGGCGGTTCACACGTCCAGGGTGCGTCCTACTCGAATTATTCTGTTTGGAGACTTCTGCTCACGACTATTCAGTGGTAGGTTGGGCCTTCACGGTCATCTCCACCAAGCGTCAACAGAGAGGAGAAAGAGAATAAAGAGAAAGGATGACGATCCCGATGCGATTGGGTGTCGTTGACGATACATCGACATCACGAGTTTAAGCGCAGTACTCGATTGGTAGTTAGGTTTGATCATTTCCCTAATTGTATCCGTAATTAATGGGTTGCAAGGCAGGAATAATTAATGGGTTGCAAGGCGGGAATAATTAATGGGTTGCAAGGCGAGAAATAATTATTTTGAAAAATAATAGAGCAGTTTCCCGTTGCCTTTTCCACAGTTTTAAGTAGTTTTTCTCCTAGACTGGCTGCCATCTGTGGCTAGGGTGATGATTATTACTTAACCAGTCGCTACAATGGATCTACAGGGTGGTCCGAAAGTCTTGTCACTCCCTAAATCTCTTCCAAACTACAGGAGCTCGTGTCAGCCATCTGAAATAGAAAATTATATTATGTAGAGATGACAAGACTTTCACACCACCCTGTATTTTCTCTCTGTGTTTGTAAAGCGATCCAAGTCCATATTTGGTAACCATTTCTCTGTTTTGTTCTCGTCGGGGTATACAGCTGTGAGAGGTGTACATCCCGACTGCAAATAGGAACGAAAAAGTTTTGCTTTATGTTCATTTGTTTATAATTTTGCAAGGATTGCTTTAAATTTGAATTAACCAATATGTTTTCCTTTCTTTTTGTAGGGGGATTACCTGGTTAAAGTGTCGACTGTTAGTGAAGAGCAGAAGGAAGAAACGTTCTGTTTGGATATGAGCGGAGCTTAATTTTAAAGAAAGATGAAATAAAAATTGAGTCTTTTTCAACTTAATTCGATTTGTCTTTTTTTTTCCTTAAATTTATCTTGGGTTTTTCCTTCGCGCCTTTTCTCATCTTTCTTCCTTTCTTTCTTTCTTTCTTTCTTTCTTTCTAATTTTCCTCTTTCTTTCTTTCTTTCTTTCTTTCTTTCTTATTTCACTTCCTTTCTTCTTCCTCTTTCTTCATCTTTCTTTCTTCTTCCTCTTCTTCATCCTTCTTTTTCATCTTTCTTTCTTTCTTTCTTTCTTTCTTTCTTTCTTTCTTTCTCCCACATTTAAAAATGTTACTAAAATTCATCATTCTTCCCAAAATAGTTATCTTTTGTGTTGTGGAGTAATGGATAACCAGTCGGAATGAAAAATTGGAGAGCCGAGTTCGAATTCCAGTTGGGTTCATTGTAATCACGTACACGCAAATCCCCTTGGAAAATGTATGAATCCTTCTTTTTTTTTCTCCCCCACTTCCCTCCCCCCAATCTATGGGTTGAATAGCAGGACAGCCCAGGTCATAATCGCATTGGTTAGCAAGAAAGAAACGACAACCTACTGCGGCAAATCTTCTGCTTAGTCAGCCATGAATGAAAAGAGACATGGTCGGCCAAGCGTGAATCTCGTACGGCACTTAACTGACTTTGCTATTTCGCTTCTTTCTCTTTTTCGTTTCTTTTTCTAATTCCCCCCCTTTTCTTTCAAATATGTTCTCTGCCCTTCTTTTCTTCCTCTCTTTATCCATTTTCCCTTTTTTTATTGCTTCTTTTCATTACTTTCTCCTCCTCACCGACTTCTCCCGTTTCTGCTTGTCTTTTCTTCTCTTTTTTTTTTCTTGGATCTTTTCTCTCGCTTTTTTTCTTCTTCCTCCTTTTTTCTGTTTCTCAATCTTTTCGTCTTTTCTTCTCACGACCTCCTTTATTCCTTTCTCCGTCTTTTTCTTTCTTTCTTCCCTTCTTCTAATCTTCCCTTCCTGTTCTTTCTTTTGACTCCTATTTTCTTCTTTCGCTATCTCTTCTTCCTTCCCTGTCCCTTGCTAATAATAATAATAATGATAATTATTCTCTCTTCCCCTCCTTCTTCTATTATTTCCTTCCTCTGCCTGCTCTTTATTTCTAGCATGTTAGCGACACCAAGTACATGGCTTCGATATCTTCAACAAGTCTTTGTCATTTGATATTTTAAACCGTGGTAATGCGTTCGTTCCCTTTGATTTTCCTTAAGTGATTTAATTCGGCCATTGTCGACCTCTCGCCTGTTTTTCTTTGGGAACGCTAAACCTAAATCTCCTATTTTCAAATTTCATGACTAATTTTTCCTTAATAAAATTTAATGGACACCCCTGTGGCACCATTTACGAGACAGAGAAAGAAAGAGAAAGAAAAGAAGGCAGAAAGAAATGCGAGACGAATCGTATGTGATAAAACAGCCACACACATGGCCTAAGAGACAATGAAAATATTGATAAGTAACAAGTGAAAAAGTGTGTCATTAGAATGACAGGGAATTTCTGAGTAAAAAAAAAAAGAGGAAAAGAAAGAAGGAACCAGATGTGTTTTGATAACGGCTATGTTATCTAGGTACGTAAACGAATGGCTAGACCACCGGCCCAGGAAAAATTCAAGTGAAAATGCTATTTCGATAAGTAACGAGAAACAGGCCACTAAAAAGGACTTTGGACAGATATGAAAAATTAAATCCCACACAAGCAGAGCGCTGACCGAATTCTTTTCAACAAAACAACTTTGCCCTGCGATAATAAAATTATGTTATCAGACACATGTACCGAAGGAAAATAAATGGGAACCAGAAATGTTTTTCTTTCTTCCTTGGAGACGACAGACTGACTGAAATTTTTGGGGATAATTCTTTTCTAAGGCCATGTCGGGAAAACCAACCATCTTGATGAATTAGCGATAAGCTACCTGACAAACGCCACGTGTTGAATAAAGAGTTGTCATATTATCCGTTCGTGGCTAGAGAAGTGATAACGGCGATTTGAAAGGAAGAAAAGGGAAAGAGAAGAGATAATTAATTTCTTTTAGTTAAGCAAGTTATTTTTTTTCCGAAACAAAGCCGCGGATTGTTCACGCCCGACTAAGATATCATTGGTCAAGTGGTGATCACGTGACGCACGAAGGAGGAGGAAAGATACTCGACCAAGACCTCATTGGCCGAGAGTGATCACGTGACGCACGAAGAAGGCTGTCGACGCCCCCATCCAGAGTATAAGTATGAGAAGCTGCTGCGAAGAAGTGGGGAGGGCAGTTCACGCCCCTCAGAAGTATGGTGAGAAAGTGGGAGTGAGAAAAAGTTGCCAAAAATGGAAAAGAGTGGAAAATCCCTAACCAGAAATAAAAGAAGTGGATATGTATTTAGAATTATCGAGGAACTCCCCCGCCAACAGACCCACCCCGGTTTTGGTCGGCGTCAATAAAAGCCAGGCCCCAACAGGCAGAAATCAGTTCGGGCCCTGGCGGCAGAGATGAGTGTCCAGAGTTCGAGCTCCAGTTTCCAGAGTTGAAGTCGCCTCGAGATAGCTGACCAAGACTCACGCAAAATTCCGGACTCCTCTTCAACCAAGAACAATTATTTTGAAGAGCGACTTAGGACCAGACCACCGAAATAAGCTTTTTTCGACTTTTGTCCAAAGACACACCGAAACACAAATTTCTTAGAGAGCAAACAACTTGAAGCGTTAAAACTTGCCTAGCGAAAACGACGTGTCACAATCCACAGAACGGGTCAGGAGATAGATGCAGTCCTATGTATCGAACAACTAGACATAAAGTTTGTTACCTTTTTTCTTTGATACTTTGAACTTTTTGAGTTTTCATTTTCTTTTCTTTTATGCATATTTGTGTGTTATCACCCCCGTTGAACTCAATTTGCATTACGGCCCCATCCACTGTTTGATCTCGTCTGTCTAAGATCAATTCACAACGTGGGTAGGCAGACTGGAGATCAATGCAGTTACCTTGGTAACCAGGCGTTGAAAGCGAGTTGGGAACGACGAGGCTGATATCAAATCTAACCAGATTCCCACCCGAATCACCAAAAGGTTAGAACATCACATTTGGGTGCCGCGACCGATACCAAGCCAGTTGGTCGTCACAGGACGAGACAACACGACTGACGCGACAGGCGGACGTCACGTTTGGAGCAGCGACACCCGGACGGAGCAGCGAGGAGCGAACAACTGGCGCCGCAGCGAAGACGTCACAAGCGGTGCTGTTTGAGGACGTCACAACTGGCGCCGTGGTAGATCAGGATAGAACGTCACAGTTGGCGCTGCGACCTGGGGACGACGTCACACCCCAGAGCTTGTCGTTAATTCTACAAGTGAACCCTGAAGTAAAAAAAATAAAGTTGAGAAACACTGGCCCAGTGGATTAGAGCGTTTGTTCATGAATTTGTGGCATAGTAATTGTGAGTTCAATTCATGGGTTGTGCAGTGTATACTCAGTGGAAACAGGGCGAGCAATAACTGAAACGAGAACATAGATTAAATAAAGGGTTCAGTTCGTAAATCCCTGTAGCTTACCTGGATCAGTATATACACCTGATGAAGGTTTGAGGGCGCAACGGCCGAAACATTGTGATACCAACAACAAAGGTGAGGATAATAGTCTGCACGTAAATAGTGTAAATGAAGCTAATGATCTAATTTATTCTGAGTCAAAACCTAAATGACTATAATGAATTCGTTATCGATCACTTATTGATTTTGATTAGATACTTTATACTTTGCAGTACAGACTAAGCTTAACGACACCCCAACACACGATATATTTCGAAATCAGCGTAGACAAATAGTAGCTTACATTACGACGTGATATATTTTTAATAAAAATATATCACAAGACATGTTGTCTTGTAAGCTACTTATAAGCCTACGCTGATCGAAATACAGTTCGACATCTTTAATCCGGCACATTTGGGACCAGAACACTGCCGGGCCACATAACATGTCTGTTGACAATGTTGCGAGCCGGTGTATGCTCGGAGAGATAAACACGTGTGTCTCCTGAAATGCCCACAACAAACATAGCGGACTCGGGATGTGAGTCCACGTAAATAAATTAAAAAAAAAACAAGAAGAACCAATATATATGTACAAACAAATGATAATGTATGAACAATAAAGTATAAAGACAAAGATGTGTGTATCAAATGAATGTGAAAACCTAATGATCCAAAGTATGTGTAGTGAGTGAACGTAGGTACGTACGTGTGTGTGTGCGTGTGTCTATATTATGTATTGTTCATGCGTTTCCCAAAGGGAACGCGTTTTCCGCAAGCGGCTACATGTTGATGAATAAGAGGATTAGGTGAGAAGAGAACGAAAAAACATCGCAGAGTATTTATAGTCCTGAGAGCGTCTCCGGGGTGCGGTTTCGAAAATTGGGAGGAGCTAACTCGACAACAGAAATCACGCCGCCCCCACCAAATCCTAACATGTTTTTATTGTTTCATGCAATACAAGGGCAAAAAAGAAGAAACCTAAAATGAAAGAAGAATATATTTAAAAGAATTGTGTCGTCATGGATAATCATAATTATAATGTTGCCCCCCCCAAAAAAAAAAAAAAAAACAGGGAATTGTGGGTAGAAAAATGGCTATATGAGTCAATGAGAAATTTGTTGGTTAGAGGTTTGATCAAGTATCAAACAACTTCATGAAAGGACGGACAAACAAACGAAAGAAGCAAAATGAAAGTATTTTATAATCCAGAATGATGATGATAGTTCATCATTCTAAAAATAATCTTGCCATCAGCGATGATAGAA